TGCTACCCCAGGCCGGGTGGGACGTTCCCAGGCTGGATCCAATTTTTTTTGTAGGCTGTAAGTTGCCAGTCCCTATCACAGAGCCTCTTAGGACTAGGTCGCTATTTCAAATCGAGTCAAACTGCCGCCTTGTACTTTTCCCTGCCCGGCCCCCAGTGATGATCAGCTGAAATAAATACATAGGTGTCCTGTCTTCATGTGGACGGCTATCTATACGAGGCCTATCCAACCCCTAAACAACCGGGGGCCACACTACTACGAGCCACACCCCCTTTGCTGCACCACGCTGTGGGCTCTCTAGCACCACGGCTGTGCTGACCCACCCCCTGGGGCCAAAGCAGGAATCAAAAGCTGAAGCAGGGAGAGAGCCTAGAGACCACAGCTGCAGCAGCAGCCAGAGCAGTAGTAGGAGAGGTGCTAGGGAGGAGCCTGGGGGCCATACATGAATCCCTCGTGGTCTGCGTGAGGCCTGTGAGCTGCCAGTTGGACAGCTCTGGCCTGCACCATAAGGGGCAAATCCAGGAGCTATTTGGCACTTGTCTGAAGGGGGCACAGGTTGAAACTGACTTGTTTTCACCCTGCAATATGATCCTTTCAACTCAGGACTGAAGAACATCCAGTGCAAGAGAGTTGGATACTTTGCATTGCCACTGCCTGTGTCTTTCTGTTTGAAGGACTTCATTTGAACGCTTTTGAGCAAAATAGTCACTTCAAGTAAAAATGTAAATTGAAGAAATTGTGCACTCCTTCCTGTTGCAGAGGGCTGGTTACTGTTTCTTTACTGATATTAAAGGTTCTCTGATCTGTTTGTGTACGTCTTCATGCATGTGGGGTTTTTTCTTAAGCAACCATGAAATTTGGTAGCTTTTCACTCTGCAAGTTCTGTAATTTCTCCAATATCTTGTTCTAATGTTAGTGCAAACAGTTATTGACCCCATGCTTTCTTTGTAGTCCCATTTCAGTTTCAAAGTACCTGCTTTGAATTTCACAGTCAGAATCCATTAATGGATTTAATGTTTTTTCCTCAGCCTTTTTGATGCTGTATATTCATTGATCAAAAACAAAATCCACAGATTGCCAGTTATTGACCCTGTCAGCGGGAATGCACTTTATATACTTACCCATAAAAGAATCCTCAAGTTCCTCCAGCTTTTTGTAAGTAATCTAAAAAACTCCTTTGATTAACTGATATTTAATAGAAGTCTTTTAAGATTCACAGCATAAGCCCTTGGCTTGGAAACTTGCTGATAGACTCTTTGACTTGACTTTGACTCTTTTCTTTCAGAAAGTCTGTGCATCTCTTTCCTGACAGTATAAAAAGGGTATGCTCCTGCCTGTGAATATGAGGGAGCTGGCATAGAGCATGGCTTCTCTCCCCTCTCCAGTAACCGTTCTGCAGAAAAATAACTTGTTCAACTCACTGCTTTCCTCAAGTGCTCACTCTTCCCAGCAGAGAGACTTGGATCATGCAGAGCAGCTCCTCTAATGTGGTCTCAGCAACAAGCACTGGTGACAGATCAGACCAGGAAATGAGAATTTGAAGTAAACACACAGCCCAAAATAATATTCTTTAACCTTTCTTTTCCTGTTTTCCGTCTCTCTGCATTCAGTGGACTGAAACGGGAAAGACACCATTTAGTACCAAATACATATTGACGCATTACCACAAAAGATTAAATAAATTTGAGGATTGAAAATTTGCATTGTAATCTTAGTTTTGACCTGCTTAAATTCAGATAGGGCTCGGACACATGACACCTTTGCTGCAATGCAGTTAGCTTAAATAAGGAGTAGAGGTGCATCAGTCACGGGAATATATGTACTTACTTTCTTGAATCCAGTGTGATTAGCCCAAGAAAAATTAGGAGTAAAACTATGCTGACCATAGATTATAACGGTGTCAGTTGTACCTATGCTTCCATTTGCTAAAGGCAAACAGACTTGTGCCTGCTTCCCTGCCAGCTAGAGGTGAGAAACTGTGATAGGGCCTGCTGTTAGTAACTGCCCTGTGGAGCTTGTTGTCTGTCCACCTCCACTCCTGATGTAATTTTACACCCATGTAGAAAACTGGTATGAATTACACTGTGTTGAAGTCTGTTGTGTCCAGAAATGTCTTAGACCTGAGTCTTTCAGCTAATTACTAGGAATCCAGGTTTTCCGTTTGCCATAGAAAAACATGGATTTTCTCCTTTAAAAGAGAAGAACCCAGGAAACCTCCCCCTTTCAGGCTGGCACGGTTCCATCCTGCAAGGTGCTGCTTGGTGCTGGGGGGAGAGGGATGTAGGGGGTGCCACATGCATGTGTGCATGCGCACACACGCCCATGGCATCCAGTCAGCAGTGGAAAGCAGCTCCTGCAGCTTCCTCCAGGTAAGTCAGGTGGGAAGGGGAGCACAGAAGTGTTGGGGGGGGGGCATGTGCATGTCCTCCCCCATCCAGATTTCTGCACCTACAGCCAGGCCAAACCAGCTGTGGGCAGGAGCAGTCTCCACAGCCCAACAGGTGGGACCCACCGTGGGAGGGGGCACTGTGCTGCCATGGCTGCCAAGGTGACGCATGGTGGCAGCATGGAGGTGTGCCCTCACTGATGCCAGGTGGGCAGGGGATGCCTCACCTTGGTGGCGTGGCACTCCCCCCTGTGCTGGGTCCCACCTGCTGAGCCATGGAAGCAGCTCCTGCCCACAGCTGGTCTGGCCAGGCTGCAGCCCACACCTCACTGTGTGCACAGAAATCTGGGGGGTATGCCACCTTTCCGCCTTCCCAGGCTGTCCTGTGTCCCCCTGTCCCCATGATGCATCACCTGTGTTCCGGCCCCCCGTCCCCACTTACCCTCCCTCTTCCTCATACTTTGGAGGGCTGGGGGTAAGGACAGCAGCTTGGGGGTGAGGGGCACCAGTAGGGTTGGGGCACTGGATGGGGAGTGAGGAGCACTGGCAGGGCCAGGGGGCTGTGGGGCTGGGGGGGCTGTGGCTTGGGACTATTGTGGGGCACCAGCATGGACAGGGGCACGGAACCAGCATATCAGAGCTGCTCAGCACCCCAAAGCAGTGTGAGGGGGACAGCTGCAACTAGACCCATGTCCTGGTGAGCGAAGAGGGCAGGTGGAGCTCTGATTTCCCATAATACAAAAAAAATCAAATGCCAAAATACATAGGTATTTAAAATGTATTTTATTATGGTGATTGAGGCACTGGAAGGCTTCCGAGCTGCTTTCAAATTGGAGATGTATCAATAAAACATTGTGCTCAACTGATACCTAGATAGATAGTGGCGTTTAATTTTAACTGTGGAAAAACATGAATTTTTGGGGTGGGGGTGCAGGGGAGACCCTTTAGACAGAGAAAACAAGGATCACTGTAATTAGTAATGTGCTACGTTGCTCTGAAACCCTGTGGTACTTATCTGAACTCTGTAGGTAAAGCAGTGAAGACTGACCACTCCTCGTGTGAACTTCAGTCATGCCTTCAGGTTCCAGTGCATCTGTCCTTAAAAAAAAGAAGGAAAGAAAGAAAGCACAAACAATGTGTTCTTTTCATCTGTCCTAGGTGTCAGAGATGCCAAAGCCTGCTTTTATGAAGAAGAACCTGGATGAACTGGGGATAGGAACTTACCACAACATTGCCTTCATACATCCAGACACTCCTATCATTAAAGCCTTGAATATATTTGTAGACAGAAGGATATCAGCATTACCTGTTGTGGATGAGTCAGGTGTGTGAAAAGCAGTACATGAGCATAAAAGCTGGGGGGGAGGTGGAGAGGGATAGATCATTTCATTTGTATTTAGTTATTTTGTACAGTTACCCCTGTCGAGAGAGGTCTTAAAATTGCCTCTTTTCTGCCCTGCACTTAAATCCCTACTAGGTCATCAAGTAATTAAAAGGGGAAGAATGGGATGAAAGGTTCAGGTTGCAGACCTAGAAACTTCCTGTTCAGTTAGTTTCTTTTGAAGTGTGTTGTAGCACAGAAAGGGTTCGGTTGTTGTCAGGGGTGGGGGGACGGGACAGTATTTTCTGTTTTGATATGTGTCTGTCTTGTTTTCTTGTAATTGGAAGATAATAAAACTAGGATGCAGGAAAATTAACTTTTGTTTTTAAAGGCCTTACTAACATATGTTTTCATTTTTAGGAAAAGTTGTAGATATTTATTCCAAATTTGATGTAATAGTAAGTATCTTCTTAAATTCCATAAAATATTTTATGTGCAGTGTGATGCATCTTTTTAACAATTTCTTTCAGACATCTGTTTCAACTGTTATTCCTTCCTTAACCTTTTAATTGTTTCTAATGAAGTGAAGAAAATGCCATTCAGTTGACTTCGCAATGTTCAGTTGACCATAGTAATAATTTTTATCCAAGGGTAGCTGGTGGTCAAGGCATTTCTAAGACTCAAAAAAGTTGTGCCAACACAAGGAAGTTTAGGCTTTTTTTTTAATACTTCCTCTTAACTATGCCTGTTCCACAACCCAGCCTTATCACTGGTGAAAGACTTCCTTTTGCAGGCTGGGCGCATCATTTTAATTGCGTTTTCAGTCATTGAAACGAATTAGCTGCCATAGTTGCATGCACCAGTGTACTAAACCTGCCCTCGTTGCAGTTCTGTCTGAATCTAGCTCAGACCAGTATTTTGCCACGGCATACCTTTAGTACAGTCTAGCCAGCCTGCCTAGTGAGCAAACCTTCTACACAGCTGAGATCTCCCAGAAAAAGTCTGAATGTCTCTGTCCATCTCTTCTCCACGCACCTGCTCCCTCCTGAGGACTTCTGGGGGCTGCCTTATTCTGTGAAGAGATAAGAATTTTAGTAGCTCATACACCAGCCTGCCAATTTTGCTTTAGAAAATCTCACTACTAAGGGAGAAGAGTACAGAAATACTTTAAAAGTTCCTGTAACAACTATAATCTGCAGAATTTGTCTGCATGCTGTGTTCTTGAGAACGAGGGCTCCCAAGCCCACAGGGTTTCTACCTATTCCTTCAGGACTCCTGTTCCTTCTGCCTCTGTTTTTATGGAGGACATTGCCCTGTTCCCTGCTGAGGCCAGGACCACTACCGAGAAAGCAATCCTGCCCACATTGAGCAGCATAGATATCTCGGAGAGGTCCTAATGCCACTCTGAGGTGGGAGACCAGACTAGGAAGCAGTCTTCCCCTGCTACGTCTTTGGCAGTTGCTTCAGGGCAAGAACATCCATCTCATTTCTCACGCCTTTCATAGCAGGCGTTGGAAAGAGAGAAGCTTGAATCCAAGTGATTCCTTGGAAGACAATTTAAAAGAACTCTAAGCAAAAATTTGTAATAAAAAGTAGAAATCTGGACAATATGGCTACCAGAATCCTTTTAATTTCCAAGGAAGGTGGGCCTGCTCACTAAAAAAATAACACGGCTAGAACCAAAACAACTTCAAGGCCAAAAGGCTTATTTTTCTGCTGCCAGCTAGTAACATGCAAGTAAATTAGGCCGCCTTTTGATCATCTTCCCCTGGGTGGTTGTCTCTTTCATCTATGCTAATTTGCAAATTAGACCATCAGGAATTTAAACATGCTTTGTTTTAAACAATAGTGTCCCTAAACAAATTAAACAAACAAATAAATAAGCATAATTTTCTTTTTAGGTGAAGGTACATGATTGCTTTTCCCTTTAACTTTCAAAAGTCTTGAAGTAAGCCACATATCTTGCCTTTGCTCCTCTGTGCTCATAAAGGTGGCCATCTGCAAATCTTGGGTAAACTGGAAACTTAAATCAGTACTTCCCAAAGGCTCCCTCAGTCACTCTGTCTGATCCTCCTGTTCCATGTTTTCTACAGCCTGGCATGCCAAGGGTCTGAGCTGTTGGTGTGCACACAGGAAGTAGAAGAATTGTACACCTGGCTTTTTATCCTTGACCCACCATGGGGCTGATCTACTTGCAGTTAAATCAGTATTGAAACAATGCCTACAAAAAGTTCATTCAAATTAGTGCAGAGCCCTTATGTAGATATATTTATTTTGGCTTAAGAGTTACCATATTACTGTTTTATTTGGTTGATTTTTGGGGTGATAGGAAATGAATCTTCTTAGAAATAGCTTAACCTTATATCAAATAATGCTGAGTATGTAGAGAACTCCACTCAGGAGGCACCTAGCATCATTCTACAAACTCTCCAAAAATCTGCCTAATCTTCAAAAGGAAAGTTCAGCTTTGTCTCTCATAACAATTCCTTTAGCTAGGAAGCAATTTAGGATGACTAAAAATTTAAAAAAGCAAACATTTTTCTTTTTGAGAGAACCAGCATATGGACCAAGATCCTTGCTCAGTAGCCAGGGCCAAAACCTAATTGTACTTAAATGAAAACCTGGACCAGAGAATGAAAGAAGTCTGTCCTCATTCTCATGTTATGCTGTTTAAACATGTTTGACTATCTTCAGTACCTAAAATAAATAGCTCGGAGCATGCCACTCTCATAACTGCCACCACTCCATCAACATACGTTCTGTAAAGTGGCTCCACCAAAATTTTGGGTTGAAAAGCCTGGAGATACAAAGTGTTGCCACTTGAAACTTGCATCTCATTCACAACTCACTAAAAGACTGATTGCACTTGGGCTCTTGTGTACCCCCCAAAGGACTAAACTAGGTCACACATTTTAAAATGTACAAAGTAATTGAATGTGCAATCACGTGGGTTGCATATTTAGGACTAGAGGACTAAACAGGACCTTACAGATCTTCAAGTCCAGTCCCGGATATGAGCCAATCACACTACATAATTCTTTTCCTAAACTGACCTTAAAAGTGAGTTAAGTTGTTTTCTCATACTTCTCTTTTTGGGAAGCTGTTCCAGGACCTTGCTCCTTGGATGATTATACACTGCCTTCTGATTTACAGCCCAGATTTATTCCTAGCCAGTTTATACTTTTTACGTTTTTGTGCCATAGCTGCCTCCCCATAGTGATTTTCAGAGTAATCGTATCCCATCTCAATCTTTGCTTTGTTAGATTAAATCAAGCCAAGCTCTTTTGAGCTGTTCTCCTAAGATAAGTTTTCTTTTTCTGATTATCTTGGTAGCCCATCTCTGCTCCTGCCCCCATCTGAATTCATATTTCTTGAACCTGAGTATACAGAGTAGAGTATCCAGATGAGGTCTCGTCAGTCCCTTGTCAGTGCTTCCCTGTCTCTACTGGAAGAATCTTGCCTAATGCATCCCAGTGTCTCCTTTTTGTGTGGCCCTATCACATAATCATCCTCTGATCATCTGAATACAACCAGGTCTTTCTCCTTCTCCGTTGTGCCCAATTGATGAGCTCTCAGTTAAGTTCTTGCTATTAATCACCACTGTATGATGTGGGAAATCAGTATTATAATTTTTCACCCCATTTCTCTCTTTTTTAAGACTTCAGTATCATCCCTTTCTTCCTTAATGAGTCCAGTCCTTCTCTTTATTGCTGATATGCCGCCATCTGTGTCACCAACACATTCCAGCTAATGGAAGAAGAAAAAAATAGTATCTTCTTTTCTATACCTTTTCTCATAGTAGAGGATATTAGCTTTTCTGCACAAACTCTGTATATCAAAATACTCTTGATTTTAACATGAAGACTGTAGATGCTGTACCTTTCAATTCTTTTAACCCTCTCACTTGCAGTTGTGCTGATGAACTATTGTAGTTCACCTGATGAATATGAACTATTGAATTTCTCATAGTTGATGTAATTTCTGTTTTGGAAATATATCTTCTGGTATCCATGATTGCAGTGCCAAAACAGGCCAGCAGAGGGGGTCTGAGCACAGGTAGAGCAAAAAAAGATGGTCATTAATGCTTTCATTGGGAATGTCCAGACCAGCTGGGGGTCATCTGTTGGAAGAAATAATTGCAGTTAAGGAAACAATATTTCTCTTTATTACTAAGGTCTCATAAATCTCTGGAATTTGAACTGATCTGTAAATTTTGCACTTATTGTGCAAGAGCATGAGGAATTACTTTGAGTCCTTCAAGTCCAAGATCTGTTAGCAAAATGAGTAATTTGTCAGTGGCTGAGTGCATACCACAATCCAGGATTAATTTTTGTCAAGTCTATTGTGATGCATTTAACTGAACTGCAGGCTTGGCTTTCCTTATGCACTGAAGGATCGCTGATGTACTTAGCTTAGCAAAGGTGTTTACTATGTGAAGTGAAAACCCTCAGTCTGCAATGCAACACTGGACTGATATTTGCATGCATAGGTCAGTGCCAAAATATTCACTCACTTGTCTGTTATAAAGACTACAACTGATTTCTCTGCATGTTATTTTTCAGAATCTTGCTGCTGAAAAAACCTATAATAACCTAGATATCACAGTGACGCAAGCCCTGCAGCACCGTTCTCAGTATTTTGAAGGTGTTGTGAAGTGCAGTATGCTGGAAACACTGGAGACCATTGTGGATAGAATAGTGAAAGCTGAGGTGAGAGTGCTTTTGTTATTCACTTTAATTTTTAAAGCAGTATGATAACAGGGGTACCAAACGTGTGCTTTTACTTTAAAGTAGTACAGAGTAATTTTGATGATACGCCATGGGTATAGTTTCTCACATCTTCATGTGTAAATATTGAAGTTTGGGTTACTGCAGTTATGAAGAATCTGCAGGGAATCTTGGTGAAATCTTTGGTTTCATTTGGGGCTTACAGGGGGGTAAGGGAATTGCAAGGTATTTTTTATTGTTTCCATCTCCACTTAGCCTTATTCCTGTGCCTTACACCTTAGGTCCACCTTTTGATGGAAGAGTTATTCAAAGTGAAAGTTAAAAGAAATGCTGCCTTCTAAACCTATGTAAGAGCAAATGGAAGATTCCTGAAACTGCATTGTATCTAACCCTTTGCAGATGACCACCACAACATATATAGCTTCCGAGGATTTCTTGTTTAGTTTTAATAATGAATTATCAACATCATGCTTTCATTGCCACATGACACCCCTGCTCTGTTATCTGGTCTTGCTACTCATGCTGATGAGCTTGCAGGAGCTGGCAGTGTTTCTTCAGGGACAGTGCAATCAGGCCTCCTTTTGCCATGTTTTTCCACAGTAACCTCTGGATGGATTAAAACCAGCAGCAAGGGGGTCCTATGTGAACACTGGGAAACTTGCATTGCTATAAGATAGCATGGGAGGGACTGCAAGAGCTAGAGACAGGAAGGACTAGAAATTGAGGTGAGGCTGGCTGAGACGACAGCTAGTGACCATGCTGAGCTCTAGGCCTTGGCGCAGGCTCGGGAGAATTGTTGGCATGTCAGGGCAATTCCAAAATCTCAGAGCTTGCTGGTAAACTGAGGCACTGGGTGGATGAAGAAAAATGGGATGGAACTTTGTTTGCATCTTTAAAATGTACTCTTCTAGAATGACTGACCAGATGAATGCGCTACCCCATCATAGACAACTACTTAAGCTGGCGATTTCTTCAGAGATAAGTCATTTTATTTCTCAAACAGCGTAAGCTTTCACTGAACTGCAGTCATTGCTGCATTCATATCAGTGCAGCAGTACACATCTCTGAGAACTGTTTCAATTTAGGAAGATAGATCTGGGTTTGTCTATTCATTTGGGTACCTTTAAAGGAAAAAAGTGTTGCAACCTTGAATGCTGTGAAAAACATCCAGGATACAGTGCTTTACAAGTCTTCATATATCATTCTAGCAATGCTGGTTGAGAAACACTCAGTTCGAGCCACACTTGGATAATAAAACAAGCTCAAGCATGCAAATGTCATAAAGGTGCATGTAAATTCAGATGAAAACGCATAACATTACTGTAACCTGTATCCTTGATTGCATTTAGTTTCGTGCCTCTGGTACTTGCTGTCTCCCATGTGGCATTAGCCTGACTGAAGAGAGAACTGTTTCTTTCTACAAACAGGAATCCTTCCAAATGATTTGTCTGCCTTTAGACCATTCAGAGTTGGTTGGTGGTTAATTCTGGAGCTGCAGTGAGGTTGGTTTGGGTTTGTTTTCCATGCAGGATTCATACAGAATCAGTTCCAGGGTAAGGCAGGGTGTCAGACGTACTTTGGGCCTTGGGCCGGATTTGGACTGCGGGGCCCCTTGCAGGTCAGATTTGGTGTGGGGCTGTGCAGCAGTAAGGGGGCACGTGGCTCCAGGCCAGGTAGCTACTTGCCATGGCAGAGGCTCTGCAAGTGTGGCAGGCCAGGTGGCTTCAGGGCAAGCAAGGGCTGTGTCACAAAGCCCTCGCTTGCCTCCCTGCTAGTCTTGCGCCCGGATTTCCTGGCCCATGGATTCAGTGGATCTCCAGGCCTAAGTTTGGCACCCCTGGGGCATGGGATTGCACACTCCTTTACATCAACACTAGCAAATGCCAGAAGGTGCAGTCTTGTGAGGAAGCAGACCCTGCTAAGTCTTTCACCCAGTTTCATCTGATGCTACATTTTCCAGTGTTTGGGTGCCCTTATCATCTAGCTGCTCCAGTATCAGTAGCCCTAGTGAGTAAAAGGGAAATACAAAAAATGTCCACCTATCACGAGCTTGCAGGAGCAAATCAGAATGACCTGTTTCAGTCACGATCAGAATCCATCTAGAATTTCACCTTCTACGGTTTACGTGATTTTGCATCTTCAGTCTTTAACTTTCCTCTTACTGATGATTTTGAGAAGTTGCTCAAATTAAGTATCACTCCTTGGGGCTCCAGTAACTGCATCACGTGGCAATGTATCATCTCACATCCTCTGTGTTCACTGTAGCCTCAGTCCAAAAACTCGAGATCTGCACGTCATTGAGTCTCGAATTACCCATATGAGGGCTAACTTAGAGGTCTTAAACCCATTTCAGTTTTGAAAAAAGTCTTCTTTCCTGGATGCTCAAACTGAATGCAATATGCGAATCCTTGGTCTCCCTTAACTCTGTAAGAACCAGGTTGTGTCCTCTGATAGATTCACTTTTCTTTGGAAGCTTTATGGAATGGAGGGGCCAGGTGAAAAAGGAACCATTGAAAGAAGAACAAGTTACACCGGATGTGTAGATGTAGAAATCTCAAATTTTCGTAGAATCAGGCAGCGTGTCTCACGAGGTGTGGCCCATCTTGGCCAGCTTATCTGACCTTTTCCTCATTAACCTTTGTTTCACCAGGTGACAACTCTGAGAAGGGAAACCACCTTTGCAAGAGGAACCTGCCTTTCAAGATTTGCCATTTAGCTACAGTACAGTTCAGTTCACGTAACTCCATGCACTCATTTACCATCTAATAGGAAAAACTAATGAATGTATTCTTGTGCACTCTGCGTAGTGAATGAAAACATCCCAAGTAAATGGATATATTATGCACAAATATAAAATGATTCTCTATGTATCTACTGTAACTAGAGGCATTAAAACATACCAGATGTACAGCCCTTTCCCCCCAGTAATGTCATAAGCTGCCACTGGCTCAGAATTGGAGTGAAATTCCTACATCTGGTGCACAGAATCTTTTTGCTATAAAAATATGGTACTAAATTCATGCAATTGAGTGCTTGATCATATCAAGAAATGGGGGGTTAAAGTGTTACAACTTGCCTGCCACCTAGTCCAGCCTGTAAGAGTGAAGAATGCTGGTTGCATTTCAAATACAGAACTAGAAGCAGTAGTGTCTCCGTTTGCAGTTGTAATCATTTACCATCGCATGAAAAAATGTCTTACGGAAAATCGGTGTGAGTGGTGATAAAATGAAGGAAATGGTTACATGCCCTGCCTTATTATTTTAAAGCCTCACAGTATTCGGCTGTTAATTAAGATATCTACATTTCATGTTGGAGTTGGTCATGTCTGTGGGTTCACAAAGTTACAATGTCAGGCTGCTGCACTTAAGCTAAATTGTTTCATCGTGAAAAGTTAATAATTGCAGTAAGTAAACAAATGATAGCACTCTCGGCTTGGGGAAAGAATAGATTGGTTGGTTTCACTTTTGTTGGCGGTCTGTTTTATTCCTTTTTTGATTCTCCTGGATTGACGTAATGCTGCAATGTTCAGTATAAACACTGCAGGCGAATATGTCGTTGAAGGAAATCTATTTCCCCCAGTATTAAATCGCACGCAAAACTGCTTCATGTGTGTTTAGAAGGCCTTAAAATCCTCCTCTGAAAAAGGGACTAAGCACTCGCACAGTTATTCCTAAATGGGTGCCTACGTTTAGAGCTGCTTGCTAGCTTTATTGAAAATGTTCAGTGCAGAGAGAGCTCAGCGAAGAGAGGGCAGTGTTCAAAACCAACCACGTTCTCACCATGCAACTGATTTGGGCCTCAGGATGCGAGTACACGGCACACATGCTGTGCCCGCACGTTGCGGCTTTGCCTGCACCATCCCCACCAAGAAGCAGTTTGGCCAACTGCACATAGCACAGTAGGCAGACGAATTGGCATCGAGTCTGTACCACTAATTAGTCTACCCACGGTGTCATGTGGACTTGACCCCACTGCTTCCAGTCCAGATGCAGAAACATGTGGAGCCCTGCAGTGTGTAGGAGGGAGCTGCTGCCAGGAACACGTCGTTTGTGGTCTAGACATGGCTTCAGCCTTGCTCAGACAGCCTCATCAGGGACGTATGGGGCTGAGCACAAATCACAGCTCACTGAGACTGAAAGCCTTTTCCCGGGGACAGCGCGCACATCCAAATGCAACTTGATTTGAAGTCCCAGGTTGAGGTGGCAGATGTGTGCTGATGAAAAGCATATGCTGCTGCTTTTTCCTCTCTTAGGCCCAGATCTTGTTTGTAGTTCTGAATAAATTTGATAAGAAGTTGTTAATCCCGTAAATACATAACCTACAGTAACATTTGATTCAGTTTCTTTCAGTGTAGAAGCGTGCAAAGTCTCACAAATGTTTAAATGTTGTTAAAATAATATTATTTCTGGGCTGGTATCATCCAAGCTTTCCTTCAGATATTCTGATTGTTGCCACGTCAGACGAACATTACAACTGGAGCTGCTTTAAGATAAACTTGTTTTCAGTTGCCTGGAAGGTAAAGGGCATTGATAACGTCAGTTAAGAACATGTCGACTTTGAGCAATTTCTTTCCTTTCCTAATTGTGGAAACTTGCTCACTTTACAGCCTGCCGCATTAGGATTCTGATTTCTTTGTTGCCACTGCTTGTTAATTGGGACAATTACTGTTTTATAATGTGCCGTTCCCTGCTTGTAGGTTCACCGTCTGGTGGTAGTGAACGAAGCAGATAGCATTGTGGGCATCATCTCCCTCTCGGACATTCTTCAGGCTTTGGTGCTCACACCTGCAGGTATTCGTGCTGCCTTCTGACACGTTCTGTACCCGTTTATATCCGGTGGCCTATCGAATGCTGTTCCTAGGCTGTTGGATTCAGTGGAAATGGTGGTCTCCAGATACTGATTATTATGGTGGTACTGTCTTGATTTAAGTAAAATAACTGCTTGATCATATTTCCTAGCGAATTTTCATTTTTTCACTTACCTCTTAAATACTGTATCAGGCATTCACCATTAGAGCCAAGCTGTGCTTACCAGGCTGCAAGCCAAACTGGCTATACAGGCTACTGCTCTTACATCTTTCCAGAGCTTTTGACCAGAGACTTTTCTGGCCATGGCAGTGCCATAGGGTTTGCTCTAGCCCGGTGGTGATGGTATAAAGAGCAGCGTACGCTTCATGCTCTTTAGTTCCTCTCAGCCACCCACCTGAGATGCAGTTTTTACTGGCCACTGCTTGCAGACAGTGTTTTTTCTTCTCAGTGGTTGTACCGTTTTTTTCTTTTGACAGCTTTCCTTTAGTTTCTGTTTCTTACCTTTTATGTGATTTTGTTTTTCTGCCCTCTCCCCTACATATTTGTTGAGTGAGGGACCGCCTAAGAGGCTTCAGGCTGGGGCAGTCTGTGGATCTACAGTGTCTGCCCTGCAGTTGTTGAGATTCAAGATGTGCCCCTTTGCGATGGAGCAGTGGCAGTCTCAGATGGGTGTTTGCAATGCCCAGAGTGAGGTGTGATCCTGGTGGCGGCAGCTTCTGCAGATCCTGCAGGTTCTGCCCTGGGAGCTGTTCTTTATTGCAGGGCAGTGACAGGCAGCTCCAACTTGCGTCACCAGCTGACGTGCGAGACCTCTTGGCCAGCTCGTAGTTCTGCTGACACCCAGCACATCTCTGAAACCTCCCAGTGGGGGCCCCCACAGCTGGTAGTGGGGTGTCCAGCTAGAACTAACGTAACATGACAGGGCCAATATAGTGGTTTGGTTCCATAACTCATGCTGGTGGCAGTTTTGCACTTCTCGTAGATCAGCCAATACAAAGCGATTGTCAATTTGTACACATTTAGCAGGTCATGAAAGTAAAAGTTTTGGAGTCAAACATGCTGGATTTTCTTGGAGGAAAGAAGACAAAAACAAAAGTTGCCTGTACCTTGGGCTACATTAGAGCTGAATGTGTTCCTTCAACAAAAACATCTAACCGTAAATCTGACTAGCATCTTTCACTTGTGCCCGTGTTACTACATTTAGTCTGAGATTAGCCATTCTGTCTACCTCAGTGCAGCAGATGTAAGGAAATACAGCTTTTCTGAGGGATTTCTCCTCTACCAGAGAGACTGCTGGATGTGGGGAACAGGACCGGTTGTACTTAATATAGTGTACAACCATGCACCATTCAGCCTCCCCTCGTGCCTTAGAGCTCTGGCCTCTAGAGTCGGGTGTCTGAGCTCCCTTTGAGTATAACTCCATCATTGCTCGGCTCACGCAGTTTGACTGGAAGAGAGGAGGAAGAGCTTGATGCCACAACTCACCCACAGAGGTGGTGATGAAGGGGTCAGAGGAAACTTTGTACGCTGAACAGATCTTTCACCTCTGCACCATTTGTGCTTCTGGGATGGTAGGATGCCCCGTTAATCAGGATGTTCCTCTATACCAAAGGAACTGGTGAGCCCACCCAGTGCAATTTGGGTATGGTCCTCTGGCTCAGTCTCAAATACACCTTCAGGAGGATGCCTTAGTGCTGATGTTGGCTCAAGCAAATACACAACCCAAAAAACCTGCCAAGGACCTTTGGTGCAGTAACTTCCTAAAGGAGACTGAAAAATTATCACCAGTTGTTCGGTGACTGTCTGAGAGAGGCCAGGGACAGACTATCATTTTAACATACAATCATTTTAAAAAGGGAAAGGGGGGACTTGGTGCTTAGGAGCACACCTCAGTTATTCCAGCATAACTTACATCTGTCTGCCCCTTGTTGGGCATAAGCAGAGCTAAACCACTATCATTTTAAATCTGTTTCATTCATTAGCTCTGCTTACACCTGTACAAGAGGAGATGCACATGACCTGTAATAGAGACTAGCTCCGTAATCCTCAACCTGTCTGGCCTGTGGGCTGGATGTCTGGCGTGAGACCAGTCCAGAGGCCAGATCCTGCATGTAGGGTGGCAGGCAGGGTTGGTCCACCACGCTGGATCAAACCCTGTGCGCTGGCCAGTCAGTCCCTGGTAGGACATGCCATATGTTCCAAAGCGAACGGTGCTTTTCAGTGATGTCCCACAGCTGCGACATAGTGTCTGCAAGGAAACTGCATATATTTGCATGGTCTGATTTATTTTTCTCTTTATTAACAGGTGCCAAACAAAAGGAGAGTGAAGCTGAATGACTGCTGTGAATGTACAGACCTTTGTAGGAGAACTTGAACAAAGTTTCTGGGTCAAGTTTGTCTCAAGAACACTGACTGCAATAGAAAAGAGCAGAATAGTGGAGAATGTGCATTGGGACTTAGTGATGGGTAATGAGTCTCTTTCCCCACAGTGATGTCGCAAAAAAGCAGCATGACGAAAGCTTATATGTTAAAATGTAGGCTTGTATTTCAAAATGTCTTCAAAACATTTGCTGAAAGACTTCACATGATGTCCTTCATTAAAATGCACTGTATTTTGAAACTCTTTCATTTTGTATTTGACAGAAGTCACTGGTCAGCAATGGATATATGTGACATAAGGCAAGTGTATGGCATATTCATATCATAGTGCCTTATGTCAGAATACAGCAATATGTCATCACTGTTGCCCATCACTGTCCGAGGAAGTATTGTGCTTAAACAAGACACTGTATGTGAATGTGAAAGTCTTTGAAACCTAAAACCAAATCAGTTTCAGTTCTCATTAGATTTGTCATACAAGCTGTAATCTGAGTATCAGTACATTTCCTTAAAACTTTAATGACAGTTTTGTGTTAAATGTTGCATTCGGAACTGAGATGTAAAACGAGACTGATTTTTTGAGAACAGCTTTATTTATTTTTACTTTCTGGCAATTTTTTACACATCTTCGGTGGATAGCGAAAAACTTCACCATATCCATTAATAAACTGTTGATTGTTATACAAAACAGTGGCAAATCTTCTCATTATTTAAAACTTTGGAGCTGCAGAGGCTGTGGCTTGTAGATCAGTCCACATTCCTGTAAGGTTTCCAGAAGCATGCCTTGTCAGGTGTTCTGGATTGGCATACAGGTACCGTGGAGGAAATGAAGTGCCAGAGAACTATATATTTTCCTCTGTATTAAAATGTAAAATCATGTTTGTAAGACTATGGATAACATTTTTGTAAATGATGCTTATGTACACAGATGCAAGGAGCAGGGAAAGTTTTTTTGCTAATGTAAATGCACTGTAAAGCTTGGAGATGAGACTATAATTGTAGACTCTTGCAAATGGAAGAAATTAAACAACCCTACTGTATCCGTTTGTTCATAGCATTTCTTGAAAATGCCAGACCTCGCATGCACGTTTCCGTGTAGATACTCAGTTTGGTCATGTAAACTAGGAGCTTGAATCATTCTTTTCTCCCTCCCGTTCTGCTGGGGCGAAGCCAGTAAAAAAATTTTCAAAAGCACATTTCTTTCCCTGGAATATTAAATGACACTTTAAACTATTTATTAAAACCAAATGAATATTACATCCCATACATATGCTATGTATTGTGCCAATTAGGTTACTGAAAGTGGATTGATCTGTCATTGTCTAGTTCCACACACACAAATGGGGGTGGCCAAGTAGTTTTGATTTAAATTGGGGTTTAAAAAAAATAAAATTTTTCTAATCCAAATCATGGTTTCTGCAAACCTGAAATGTGGGTCTAAAATATCATTGTTGGTTAGTAGCATCTCATGGACTCTGTTTTCTGTACAAAATCCAAACCTGTTCACTCAGTATGCTGACAAATAAATGGTTTTTTTTTTTAATTTTTTCACTCCCCTTTTTATTTTATTGCCTCTGAAAAGCTCGAAAAGAATTTCCTCTCAACTTTAGTTTCTGCTTATATAGATGTTGACTTTTTCCTATGCATTCCTGTACTACCTCTGGGGAGTTTGTTCCAGACCTTAGGCAGTCGACTCATAAAGAAATGTCTCCTTATGTCCAATCTGAAGCGATCTTCAATCAATTTGTGTCCATTGTTTCTTGTCTTCCCCTGAGGTGGGGAACAGATGCTCCCCCAGGCCCTGATGCACACCCCTTATATACTTATAGGCTGCCACCAAGTCCCCTGTAAGTCTTCCTTTCTCCAGGCTGAAGTCCTGAGTCTTTCAGCCTCTCCTCGTGTGACCTGTTCTCCAGACCTCTAATCATGGGCATGGCCCTCCTCTGGACTCTCTCAAGCTTCTCCACATCCTTCCTGAAGTGCGGTGCCCAGAACTGGAGGCAGTACTCCAGCTGTGGTCTCACCAAGGCCAAGTAGAGCGGGGGTGACTTCCTTAGTCTTTCCTGAGATGCATCAGTAGGTACATGCCAGTGTTTGATTCGATCTGCCAGCTATGGCACCGCATTAGAGGCTCATGTTCATTCTGTGGTCAGTCACGACCCCGGGTCTCTTTCAGTTGTGGTGCTGACAAGCGTAGCACTGCCGAGCCTGTAAGTGTGTTGTGGATTATTTCTCCCCAGACGGAGCCCTTTACGTTTCTCTGTGTTAAACATCATCAGGTTTTTGATCCACCCACCTTGCAAGCCTATCCAGGTCAGCCAGTTGGCCAAATGCCCCACCTCCATGGGTCAGATACCTGACACCCCTCCCTTGGAATTAATGATGTTGGCTACATGTCATCCAGTCTAGGGATGTGATCAGGACCTATAAAAAAAGGAATTGACTGAATTATTTCAAAATGGTTAAAATTCAGCACTCTGCACTTGTTCAATGGTGAAACAGATCCACCGAACGAATGAGTTCAGGTGCTGATTCAGGAAAGCAGGTGGGTGCGTGTGTGTCTGTGCAACTAGTGTTTTACTAAGCTAGCCATGTGCTTATGTGCTCTGCTGCACTGCGATCTATGTTAAGAGGAATACACTCCCCCTCCACCCCCCCATGACCTTCCCATCAAAGCATTACAACCCTGTTACATAATCCTGGGAAAATATTGTCACAGAGAGCTGATGTGTGGAGATGGCTCAGCCTAGTTGGGAGGAGGTATCAAGTGCAGTTCCCCAAGGGTCTGTCCTAGATCTGGTATTACTTAATATCTTCATTAATGGATTTGGGCAACGGGATTGAGTGCATGCTTAGCAAATTTGTAGATGACACCAAGCTGGGTGGAGTTGCAGATGCTGGAGGGCATGGCTAGGGTCCCAAATGACCTGGATGATAGAAAAATGGTCCACAGTCAGTCAGATGAGATTCGGCAAGGACCAGGTGCAAAGTCCTGTGATGGGGATGGAACAGTCACATGCCCAAATACAGAGTGGGGAATGACTGGCGAGGCTGCAGTGCTGCGGAGAAGGATCTGGGGTTATAGTGGAGCTGAACGGAAGCCAACAGTATTCTGGTTGGAAAAATAGGCTAATGGCGTTATATTAACAGGAGTGTTGCTTGCAAATCAAGAGAAGTGATTCTTTTGCTCCGTTCAACACTGGCAAGGCCTCCCTTGGAGTACTGTGTCCAGTGTTGGGCCCCACACTTGAATAAAGGTGTTGGCACAGTAGACAGAGACCAGTGGAGATGGACAAAACAACAGAGGCCTGGCAGACATGATTTATGAGGAAAGGCTGCAAGAATTAGGATTGTTTAGCCTGGAGAAGAGAAGACTGAAGGGAGATTTGATGATTGTCTTCAACTATTGATGAAGATCAACTATTCTCTGTGGCCATAGGGGAAAGACTAGGAGCAATGGGCTCAAACTGCAGCAGGGGAAATTTAGGTTGGAGATTAGGAGGAACTTCCTCATTACGAGGCTAGTGATCATTGGAACAGGCAGCCTAGAAAGGATGTGGAATCTCCATCCATGGAAACGTTCGAGAGCATGTTAGACACGTGCTTGGCTGGGGTGGTTTAGTCAGGGATGATCCTGCCTTGAACAGGGGCTGGACTACATGACCTCTTGAGCCCTAATATATGTTCTATAAATACTCCTAAAACAGCATTCTCTATTTTCAGAAACTTGACACCCATCCTTGTTTGCTGTACACATGCACCACCTTTGTGCTTCCTTTGCTGTATTGTTAAATCTAAATCAGAACAATCACACACCTGTATAATAAAACTGGTAATAAGTTGCTGTTGCATCACAAAATTAAAGGCATGCAAATGTTCAGTTTGGGGGTGTTAACAAAATGAACAAGAATTTTAAAAGATTAAAAAAAGCCAAAATCAAAAAATGGAAAGTAGCTCAGTTTGTGAAATAAATACCCGTTAGACATAAAAATCCAGAGTCCCCCTTCAGTTCACAGTACTACTCACTTAATGTTCCCAACAGTATTCTTCAAACCAAAGCCTTTATAAACTCACCCAAAACTCTGACTCCCCTTTTAAACTTGCCCCTTCCTCCCACAACAGTCCGTGCTAATAGCCTGACATTTCACATAGGTAAAATGAAGCAAAATGCTAATGCCCACCTGATGGGAGTAGCTGGAACTAGCAATTTAATTACGGTGATTCCTTGTGAGGAAAGTGGAGGGCAAGTGCTATGAAAGAGAATTAGTATCTTCTCCAACTTCCTTTGTCCTTGTGATGTTACATATGAGTTTATTCCCCTGTCCCTCACTTCTACAGAGCTCACCTGCACATCCCACCTGCACTCATTTGTCCGGCAACCAACGTTACCCTCTGATAGTGTGCTCTGATGGGAGGTCGAGCTGTGGAAGAGGAAGGAGCCTTCACCCAAAAGGACGAATATGAGTCATCATCTGGAAGTCTCCTGTCTCCAGCTGGCAAGGCCTTTTCCTTGCATGTACAAATGTCACCGTCCCCCTTCTTGGGGCCTTGCCACTTGTGCGTTGCTTGTCTTTCTGATTTACCTATAGAGTTCATTTTAAAATGATACCCATAGACAAGTTGGGTGTAATTGCAGTTACCCAAACTTGTGGAGGTAGGATCAAGAATTAACAGTGGACCGTTTTCCAGAATTAGACTGGGCCATAGCCCATTTGTTTTGTTGCATCTGTAGTTCATCTGTAGCTTTGCTATGTCCATGTAGATCCAGTGACCTCTGCACATTCCCAATCATAGGATCTGCTGGGTAGGGGTGCAGCTCTGACTGTTTCACAGCAGCACCATCAGTGTCCTCACACACTCCCTTTTATCTCACACATTGGCCTCCAAGCCCCACAAAGAATATGAAGCAGCCCAAGGTGCCACTGCAGGTACAGTCCTCTACTTGTGCAGCACAAGGAAAAAAATCAAAAAATCCAAAGACATCAGATCCTAGTCACAGATTCAAGAGAAACTCCCTAGGGGCTGCCTCCTCTGTTAGCAGAGCTAATCCTCTGGGGAGCACTTCTCACATCCTGTACAAACGCATGCTCTGGGTGTGATGGCTCTCGTTAGCAGAACGAAGGCTCCAGGTCCCTCTTGGATCCCTGAAAGTCAGGTTGGGAAGCACTCTTGGGGCTAGTCCAAAGGTTAAGCCATGGGTACATCGTAAAGGTGAAGTGGCCACACCCCTACCACTGTGCACACCTGTTTCAGTGTTTACTTCAACACTGTGGTGCTGCCAACGGCTAAAATAGCAATTGTTACGCTGGTAACGTCACTCAGAGCCACAGTTAGACTCCACTCCCTGCTTCCCAAGGCAGAGTTGTAAGGGGAAGATGCATTAAGGATGCTTCCTGCTCCCGTGTTCACTTTCCTAGTAGAGGGAAAAAACCCAAAGATCGTCATGTCTCCAGAAGACCTCGGGCATTGCTTGTGGGGAGGGCACATCTCCCCTTTCAGCTTTCAGAATGCCACAGCTGTCAGTTTGTCTTTCGCACGTTGCCGCACATCTGAAATTGACTGAATTGGATCATGAGAAATGTGTCACCTCTGTTCTCACCACCTGAAAAGGAGGAATACCAGGGAAATCCTCCACTCAGGTCATGTTGCTCCAGAGCATGCCCTTAGGCTTGTAGTTACGATGATATGGACCCTGATGCAGAATACTGGCTGGGCTGGTGGTGCCATTGCTCCTTGGCCAGGTGGCCTTGCTGGCCCTTACCTAGCTATGGAGACCCTAAACACATTTGTCCTTGCAGAAACCCACCAGTATGTTCATTGGCCTCATGCTCCCACATCAGCCTACCTCACTGGGACAGGACATTCTCAGAGGAAGAACCAATGGGGCCTATTAAATACTACAATGCTAATTTAGCACCTGATGATTAGGTATGTCCTGAGAAAAATGTACAGATCCCTGGACTATCTCTCCCATCAGAAGCTGTCAAGAAGTCTGATGACTTAATCCAGACGATGTACAAGCTGTATTGGAGACCTCTTG